GGGGGATTGAGGGGGGAAGGTTTGGGGAGTTTTTGTTCTTGTTGATTTTGATATTGATTTTTGGCATTTTGCTATTGTACTATTTTCGTCTTCTTTCTCAAAGCACTTTGTTGTTGTTCTTGTTTTGTAGTTGGGGATGCTGTTAAAATGTTTTTGGGCGTTGTTGGTAGCGTTTTTTTGTTAATGTGAATGATGGGTGTGTTATGTTGCTGCTGTTGCCGCTGCAGGTTCGTCACTTTGTGTACTATTGTTGCTGTCGTCACTTTCAATGTTGTTGTAAATGTCTGTGGTAATAAAATTATTGCTTTCTTGTCACGTTGTTGTTGTTTCTGCTGCTACTGTGGCTGTGAAATCGCTGCCACCACGACTGCTGACTTTCTCAGGATTTCTGGAGTGTTGTTGTTACATTTTCTTTTGTCATTACTGTGGTTTGGTCAGGTTATCTGTAATGGTTTGTTGTTGTTGTTGTTTTTTTGTGTGTGCGTGGGTTTTTTTTGGGGGGTGGGGGGGTGGGGGGTTGCTGTTTTTGGGGGTGGTTTTGTGTTTTCATTTGTTTGTTTTTGCAATTTTTTAAGCTCCGAAGGTCTCAATTATACAACAATGGCTCCAAGCAAGAATAAATGGCATCATTTAGAGCCGTTATCATGAGCGATGCTCAATTCAGAGGTTTTGATTTCTAAAAGCAAAGCGAAATGCTATTGAACTCCTGGACGTCTTCAATGGCACCCCAGGCCCAGCGGTTTAAAAATGTACCATTATAGACAATCTTATTTTATAGGCTGTGAAAGCGGGTTTTTACAGCACGTTCCACGTTAAATTTTACTTTTCACTGCTGTACAGTAGTACCACAATGCAAAAGAATACGGTATAAACTCCAAAAGTGAATTTCAGTTGGTGTACAGATTTAGAAAATATAATAGATTTCAATAAAATAGGCCTGGTTCAAAAAGTAACTTATGGCAAACCTCTTTTTTCACTCTGGCCCAGAGTGGCCAGGCGTGTAAGAGCTGCTTCATTTTGATAAATATTTTCATGACTTCGATTGGCTGTTTGGTGTAAGACGTCACAGTGACAATTGAGGATATTTATTATTCTGCTTCAAACGTTTCAGTCTTCTTAATATATGCCATAAATTCTTACTTTGCTCAATACCTTTGAAACGTATTTGTGTGTCTGAGCCCATACTTATCGCACATAACGAATATCCTCTTGATTAAAGTTTTAGGAATGTATTTGAGACCACATTTTCGTTTTAAAACGATTTTGTGGACTCTGATGGTTATAAAACTTCCATTGCTGTGAACACTCCAAAGGATGCTTCGTATTGTTCATATTCCATTAGACTTCTTACATACCTGCACATCTGCCGTAAACTGACAAAACGCCATTTTTTAATTTTTGGCACCAAATTATTTTTAATTTGCTTAATCAAAAGCCTGATCAGTTACCCTACGTGTGACTAGGCTTTAAATACATTAGAATTAAAATTTTGGAAGAACGCCCTTTTAAAATGGTTGGATAAACTAAAAACCCACTTTATCTGGAAACTGCTGATAATTTTAAAAAGGTGTTTGTCAGCTTACGTCAGACATTAGATCTGGTCATTGTATGGGGTTGGGGGGGGGGGGGGGGGGGGAGGAAGATGGGGGTTTGGGCCGAAGCTGAACTGGGGAGGGGGAAGACACTGCAAATGGTGTCATCGAAAGTACATTTCTGGCGTGTTAGCTGACCTCAATGTCGTATTGGTGGGGAAATACCACTTTATTATAACCAACACGAAGTCATAAGAGAGTCGACAGTGCTTCGAGTATTGTTAAGTTAACTGTTGTTATCATTTTACTCATATTGACCTTTTACTGTCCATCATCGCCAGATCCTGTACGTGGACGAAGTGACACAGGCCGTGGCTGTCTCCTCCTTCATTGTCCTAAGCTGGCAAGACGACACTTTGAGATGGAACCCACACGATTTCGAAGGAATCGACAAAGTAATTCTGAAACCAGACGACATATGGACACCTCTGATCTACCTACTCAACTCCGCCGACTCGACTGAGGATGTGGTTCGGCTTCCAGATCCTGATACTATCGAGCTCTACGCGAATGGAAATTTGCTTGCTTTCTTGGCGCAGAAGATTGTGTCTTCGTGTTTCTTTGACGTCACGTTTTTCCCATTTGACGAGCAGAACTGCTCGCTGATGTTCCAGCCCTTAGGGAGCGGAGCTCGGATCGCCATGCAGACTGTGAGCTTCAACCTGCCGCTTTTGGAACTCTTCAGCACTCACAGTAGTTGGACCATTACCGACACTTCTCAGAGCGTCGTCATCTGGGAGAACGAGCTCCAGCGAGGCACGAATGTCGTCAAGGTCACGCTCGCCATTAAGAGACGCTCCACATTCTTTGTTATCAACATCATCACACCTATCATTGTGACGTCATTGATGACGTTACTTGTGTTCTGGATTCCCCCTGCGTCTGGGGAAAAGATAACCTTTCTTGTCACCATGTTCGTGAGCACCACCGTTTTTCTCAACCTGGTTAGCAATATGATGCCGAGAAGCTTCAGCAGCCTTCCCAGATTCAACCTCTTCCTGGCCATCCTTGTCTCGGAGAATTTACTCACATTTCTAGCAACATCCTTGGTCCTTAGATGCTACCGTGCGGAACAAACAGAAGAGAAAGCGAGACGGGATCGGGAGAAATACCGGCCTTCAGATAGTCGGGCTCTCATGGCAGGAGGAAGTGTTCCTCAGAGCAGAAGGTCATCTGAGAGGCGCAAATTGGACAGCGAAGGTGTGGCCACTTTGTCAGATCCGTTGACGCCATCGCCAACACCTCATGACGTCAGTGAAGACGGGAATCTCTCTGTGGGCTCTAGGGTCTCTCTTGTGCCGAACCTAGTGGCCACTAACAGATCGTGGTCTTCGAAACGTCTTGATAAAATTTTCTTTTTTGTGTTCCTCTGCATCACGTTGGCCCTGTACTGTCTTTTATTCATGTAACTTCTTATTTGAAGCACTCCTCATAGCAGATAATGTTTGGTTTTTATTTGATATTGCAAATTGTATTTTGTTTCCTTTTACTGCGGAAGTGGAGTTCTGGTTATCCCGTTCTTGTTTGTTTGTTGTTGTTTGTTTTTTTGTTTTTGTTTGGGGGGGGGGTTCATTCTTTTTGTTTTGTTTTCTTTGGGTATTGGGAACTAGGGTTTTTTCTTGCTTTTTTGGGGGGAGGGTGGGTTGGGGGAGGGGGTGCGAGGATTAAGGACGGAGAATGGGGAGGAGAGTGGACGTCAACGGGAAGATGGGATGTTTGTAGAATCGAAAGTGACTGCAGGCATGTTTTCCGAAATGGTGTTGCAATTGGTTGTGTATTTCTGAGGAAATAGGTGTACAGGCGGGGGCTCCATGCTCCCACAATAACAGGCAAAAGAATGAAGGGTGATAAAAAAAAACTGTACAACTTATTTTTGTTAATATTTTTCTCTACACTGAAGTTTTGAGTTCCAATTTATACTCAACATTTGGAAGCCAAAAGGAATTTGTCTGATATTCATTTCTGATAAATCCGCAGAATAGTTTTGCTTTACATAGCGCGTAAAAAAACAACCCATTTTCAGCTATGTCCCCATTTTCGTAGCATGACGCACTAGTTCGCTTTGGGCCTACCACTAAAAATACCAACAATTGCGCCACATTGCAAACTGCAGAAGTTTGCAGATAGTTTTTCTCTAGTTTCCTTTACCTGCTGAGATCATGATTAAAATTAGTAAAGAGCTGAGAACTTTTTGTATTGAACATTTCCTCACCACCAACTCATTACGTAAGTTCCGCACAAGGTACGGAAATAATGTTAAAGAGTCCTTTAGGCTTTCTTTGATGCCAAGAGGGGAAGTAATCCATCAGTTAGGACATATGTAGACTCAGAACATAAATCCCCAGACAAACGACCACTTCAGGTCAAACAAACACCGTTTGCACCCCTTTAAATGTCACCAGGGTGCAGAATTCAGTAGATGAGCCCCATGAGAAGTCTGTCCGTAGACCATGTCTGCAGCAATGACTTTCCTACATCTCAACGATCCATATTCTCAAGGCAGATCTTCATCTACGACTGTACCATTTTCCCTTTCGCGAAGCTATCAGCAGAGGATAGCAATATGTTCATGATTCCTCCATAGTCTTGACAAGAATTAACCTTTCCTATATGACCTTTGGTTCCTTGGCAAAGCCCATTATTCACCTTTCATGTTATATCAACTCCACAAATGGTGTCTCTTTGGGCAACCTCCCCCCCCCCCCCCCCCATTGTCTCTAGACTCAGCTCCATATTGTAAGGTGTACCTTGTCTGTGGCTTTGAGTACTCATTGTTGGGTGGATCATTTATGTTTGGCCACCTCTGAACATTACGAACGACGCTTAAGAATGTGTCAAGTCCATAGGAAGACATAGACCATTGGTTCTTGGAATTCAAGAATTTAGAAAAAAATTCAACTCTGTAGGGGAAAAGAAGTATTGCTTGAATGTTACAGGGATGGAAAGATTAGATTTTAGAAATAAAAGGAAAGAAAAAAAAAACCAATCCAATCATTTCGTGACTTTCCTTACAAGATCTTTTAAGTCGGAGCATTTTGCATTTATAGGTGGTATTTATAAAAGCCATTTGCTGGTATCGAAAATAAATTAGTTTTTTCTTTGTGAATTTTATGTCGAACAAATTCCTTTTGAATGAATTATATCTGTCCCAAATTACAACATTTTAGTACAAATTTTGTGCGAGATATTTAGAAAAAAAGTTGTACAGTTGTTTCTTTTTTTTTTTTTTGGGGGGGGGGGATCACCCTGTATTATCTTGAGGTTATAATTAATGCTCAGAAAGAGTATTCCATTTTCAACGTCTCGTATTTCAACAAAACTTTAAAAACGCAACGGGTGGTTTCGTTGCTCGATCATCAAACACACACAGGACAAATCGGTTTGCTGTTCGGCACTAACCGTGGTTCCCTTTTGGAGCCATGTCATGACTTGGGGGAAATAACGTCAAGCGATTGGCTCATGATATACTTTCCAGATAAAAGCAAACATGCCATATTTTTATGGCTATGACAATTAACATCGTCAGCATCATCCTCGTCGCATTTATGTACATTATTATCACGACCATCGTCCTCGTGGCCATCATATCATCATTGTGAAGTGCCAGATCTGAAAGTAACATAGGAAATCATTGTTCGCCTCTCATTACTCTGCTCGGATGCTCTGAAAGAATCTAACCTGTAATTTTGTCCTGGTATTTCTGCGTCACCCATCTGTTCATCTTCTTTAAGTAATCTGTTATTGGTCTAATAATAATAATAATAATAATGATAATAATAAT